TTGTTCTTCTTCCGGACGAAGAGAACTGGTGTTCCATATGGGGAGCTACTAGGGCGGATCCAGCCCTTGCCCAACAAATCGTCGAGTTGTGCGCGGAGGACCTCAAGCTCCCCCTCGGTAATCCGATAGATGCAACCTTTCGGCGGCACGACACCGGCCTCAAGAATGATCTCGTGAGAGATCGGCCGATCCGGCACCACACCGGTAGGTGACTCGAAGATGTCGGCGAACTCGTCCAGCAATCGCACCACGCGGGGGTCCGAAGACAAGTCCGTGGGTGAAGAGTCGGCTACCGCGACGGTCCGTAGGAAACATAGGTCGATTTCCTCGGGCTACTCGTAAGCGCAAGTCGCCCGGAATGATTTGGTCGTCACCACTTGGCACCGAATCGAAGGGTGCGGTAGAGGAATAGTACACGCCACTTCGGTGCAGAAGGCGTCGCGGACGCTAAGAGTCCGCCGGTGGAAGTTGACCGTGTGATCCGCACTTGCAAGCCAAGGCATTCCCAAAATGATGTCGAAGTCCGTGTCCAAAATGTCAAACGTCACCGGTTCGCATGCATGAGGTGCGAAGTACACCGGTACGGCTTCGATGTAACGGTCGAGAAGTTGCTGCGTCTTTCCATCCGCCAACTTGATCGTCGTCGGGTTTGCCTTCCTCCGAACTTGTGCGCCAAGGCCAACCCTTTGCATAAAGGATTCGCTCATGAAATTGCGAGACGCGCCGCTATCCAGCAAAGCGCTGCAGGACGCTTGCCCAACCTGGATGCGGGCATACATGAGCGGTGCGTTGTTGTCATCGTACCGCTGTGTGCGAAACTCGCGGGCCACCTTGGTAACATATGCAAGGATGTCCCCCACCGCGACTTCGTCATCCGTCGACGAAGTTGGTGGTGCATAGAAGGATAAGTACGTATGGAGATGAGCGCATAGTGCTGCGCATTGCGGTCCCGGCAGCGGCCCGTGGTCGGGAGAGGAAGCCATGTAAAGTCCTCGGACGTAAGCGGGTCCAATACCTCTATGTTGAACTCGCGCGCCGAATCCCGTGAAGAACCACTTGAAGACGATAAGTTGCCGCTGCCGGACGGAGAAGATACCGCACACACGTCTTGTCCTTGAGCTTGAGTACCCAGCGTAGGAACGAGCCGGGAAGCATACTACTCAAAAGAATATAGAAGAGGAGGACTATCGACTTCCGCATGCGCCTCGGAATGAAGGCCGGTCACTCGCGAAGAAACCCGTTCCGGAGGCGTCAAGAGTGTCGTCATGTAACTCTCGGCGGAGCTCAATTTCCCTGTTTGCCCTTGCCTTTCAATGGGCAGGCCCATGTCTCATGGAGATCGTTGTTGCACCATAGGCAATAGTGGAATCTCATGCGCGCCTTGAATGCTTGCTCGGAGATGCTGTATTCGGACCATGGGGCTGGAGCTGCTGCGTCGGGCCCGGGGCTAGATGCGGTGTGTGTCTTCGTCTTCACGTTCTCGGCCTTTGCCGGGGTGGCCACCTTCCCGGGCGGCTGCGAGTCTGTCCCCTTCATTGGCAGACACGGCCTCGTTAGATTGGTCAAACGACGTTGCTGCCGCGACCACGGCCACTCTTGGCCGATGCTGGTCTCTGCTCGGGCCTGGCGCAGACGAACGCAGGTTCTTAGCCTCCTTGTTCGTAATGATGATCTGCACGGCCTTGTCAAAGAGTTCCACCGTTGTCGTCAAGGTGTCCTCGACGTGAGTCAGGGCATTGCTTAATGTCGGACACGACCTTGAGATGAAATAGTGGCGGATGGCCTTGAAGCCCATCTGGATGTTTGGGATTGATGTCAAGCGTTGGTACTTGACAATCAAATCGGTACTCGGCAGCGTGCCTTGTTCGAAGACCATGAGCTTGTCCATGCCTTGATCTCCGGCGGCTCGACTTGGAACCGCTTGTGCCACGCCGCCTTCAGATCATCCCAGCTGATCTTGGTGTGCAAGTCGCCAGCTACTACTCCGTACTTGGACAAGAGATTGTCCAACCATGCCTGGCACGCGCCCCCCGACCGGGAGTATAAGTACGCGTGGTGCTTGTCTTCCTTGACGTAGTGCAGCTGTAGCGTGAGCTCGAACTTGCGGAACCATGATATCGGATCTGTCTTCGTCGAGTCGCAGAAGATCTCCTGCCCGTCAAACTTTGGAGTTGTCTCGCGCGGTTCTAAACTCGAGTGGTTGGCGGCAGTGCAGATCCGCTGTTCCAACTGTTGCGTTGCGATCTGCTGTAACTGCACGCCGTCCTTGAGGGAGTCGACGTCCATCTCCAATGCTTCGAGGCGATCGGAGGTGTTGGAAGAGCTTGCATCGGAGGCGGCGACAGGTCGCTGCTCCAGCTACCGGAGGCGGCCTTGGACTTGAGCTAGCAAGTTGTTGAGGCCGTGGATGTCCTCCTGCTGTGTAATGCATGTCGCCAGGAGGTCTGTGAGATGGGAGAGGAGGAGAGCGATTTTGTTTTCGCTATCCTCCAGCTTGCCATTCTCGGCCTCGGTTCGCTATTCCGCTGCCATTGTGAGCAAAGTCTGCTCTCCGTTAAATATCTTCTCACGACGTTGGATTCTTTCTTCATCGGCAGCCTTTGCTGCTGCTTCGTCATGGTCGCGTTGTTGTCCAATTGTCAGCAGACGTGCCTGCTCGGCGTCCTCTGCCTTCTTCTTCGTTGCTGTTGCTGCGTCATCCACTCGTCTCTTTGTTTCGGTACTCCAGGCCAGCATCCGGGCGTGATAGGCCTCGTCTGCTTCTCCGGACCTCTGGTCCATGACGGCTGTTTGTGAACGCAACAGCATAGACCAGGCCGGGGGCCTGCTGACGTGGTATTCCCTGCTGTTGACGTGGCACTGTTGTCGGCTGACGTGGCTTGCTGACGTGGCCTGCTGACGTGGCCTACTGACGTGGCCTACTGACGTGGCCTGCTGACGTAGTCTGCTGAAGTGGCAACTTACCAATGCCGCTGCAGGGGGTACCCAGAGATGGATAGAGAAGGTAAGGCCAGAGGCGGCAACAACATAGGTGGGGAGGGTGGGTGGGGAGAATCGCCCAGATAAAGAGCCACTAATCAAAAAAAGAAAAGTTTGAACTTTGCAAAAAAAAATTTCGAAATAATAAAAATCCCGAGTTTTGCAAGTTCAGTAGGTCTCCCAACCTCCCTTGAAGTGCGAAATGATCAATGAAAGAAATTTTTTTTTGACTTCAGACTGCAAATGATTTATAGAACTGACTAACAGAATCCTAGAACTGCGAAAAAAAAAATTCCGAAAAGAAATGACAAGTATTCGGATTTACTCAGATGAGAGTATTCACATTTTGGAAAATAATACCTGCAGGAGGGATTTCCCGTACCGTTTTCAGAAAAACATTCCGAATTTTTAAGTAACGGGAAATGCAATAGGAAATCGAAATTTTCGAAAAGAAGGATATTCCAGATTTTGAACAACGAAATTTCGAAATTTCAGAAGGAAAACGAAAATGGAAATTTCAGATGTTGCGCTACAATAGAATAGCGAGAAAACAAAATCCAAGAAAAGAAAAAAAAAAAATCGATTTTCGGCAGTAAGGTCAAAATCGTGATTTTGGGGGCTAACTAGTGTGCTCTAATCAATCAATAAAGACTAATCAGCTACCTAGTCCCCGCACACGTGTCAGATCAGGTTGTCCTGATTCACATGCGGCGTTCCATACCAACTGTTACATGCCCAGTTGGGCGATGTACATAGAAACCGAGGATCCACAATGTGATGAAAAGGACTGAATGGACAATGCAGTGCAAGTAGAATCTCAACAAGCAATGTGCATTCTAATACATACAAAATGGTGCTGAATAACGCAGGGAAGACTTAGATACAAATCCTGACCTGACCGGGACTGACCTCATTCACGTAATATAAGAGAGCGAAGCAGAATGCTAGAATGCTAATGACTAGCCCAATCAATATTTGAACGCAGACCGAACATACATCGTATCCATCACAAGGTATGAAGGAGCCTGGCGCTGTACACAGGAAGAAAGCGCCAGGTCCAGACATACACAGACAAAGAGGAGGGGATCGGATGAAGAGAGGGGGAGAGATGGGAATGTCGTCAACACCAAGTCTTTGTCACGAGTCCCAAATAATCCCTCGTCGTAATGCCTGAAGCCCAAAAGTCGAGTCTGGATCCAATGTCACCAAGCTCTCTCTCTTACTCTTCTCTTGTAGTCTGCTGATGCAGTGAAGTCAGATAAGGAGAGGGTGAGAGGGAGATGGTGGACTGAGAAGAGGAAGAAGAAGAACTCTCTCTCTGTCACGAGCCAGATACTAACCTGTGAAGTTGGCGCTGTAATGCAGGTACCTCGAAGACGACGCTGGAGCAACGACTCTGCAGGTAGGTACTCCTGGCCTCGGCCCAATCTCTCTCTCTCTATTGCTATCCTAGCTATGGCGCCCAGCGCTGAAGACTACAGCTACCTACTGCACCCAGTGCTGAAGACTAATGCTAATGCTACTACTACTCCTGCAGCGCTCCGTCCAGAGTGCTGCTGCCGAATCCTGAAGACTACTGCCTGCCTCCTGCCTGCCCGTGAAGTGCATGGGAAGTCCCTATGTACTACCTCGGCCTGCCTCCTGACTGCCTGCAGGGCGAGTCAGGCCGAGGAGGCTGCTCTTGCCAATGCCGAAGTGTACCAGGGGCTGGCGCTGCAGCCTCTGCTGAGGCTGTCGTGGGAACAGGCTAAGAATAGCCTGTTCACGAAACCCTGGTTCGGTGCCTGAGTTTCAGGGCCGGTCGTTCTGATGAACGACCGAAAATGGCCCTTCGTTTCAGGTTAAAAAGGCTATTGCCATTTTTAGTCTGAAACGACACAGGGTCTGTAGGCCCCTGTTTTTCAGGCTTTCGGGCTGAACAGACACGGGGCCTGTAGGCCCTGGTTTTCAGGCTTTCAGCCTGAGGGACGCAGGGCCTGGAAAATGGCCCTTGTGTGCAGGCGCAGCAGGTAACACTATACCTGCCTGTCAACTGACGCCACTTCTTCCTGCACGAATCCCATTTATTGACTTCTCTCCCGGTTGCTTGTTTGATTGCATCGGCAATAGGCTGCCACATCAACTTCGGAGAATTGAAGTCATGTCCGCCAGCTGCAATCACAGCAGCCTCCTTGCGTGTTGCCTCCACAAGCGCGGTGATTTGGTTGGGATGCCAGGACGCTCCCCGACATCGCTTCCCACCTGAACCCTTCCCATCTGAGGTTGCACATTTCTGTGAATCGTCTTCTTCGTCGCTGGGAACGGGCTCCTGCTGTCCACTCTGCGGCTCCTCCATATCGATGGGTGGCTGCTCCAAATCGATGTGCTTCACACCTGATGCAACTGGATTACTTAGTGCAAGTTGAACTCCATCACGGGCAAGAAGGGGAGTTCCACAGACATTGTATGCTCTCCCGACAGGCGCAGGTTCATCAGATAAAAGTGAGCTGAACTCGCCTGGCGTGTTGTGTGCATCACCCACAAGGTCTCGTGATGGCGGCGTTGACAACTGCTGCGTGGGCAGAGGAGCCGCAGGAGTGTAGCACTCCTCACTGCTGCTGTCATTATCGGAAAGCCCTGAAAAAGGCATGCCGATTGGCCACTTGGGCAGCTCCTCGTGTCGTGGCTCTATCTGTGATTGATGAGGTTGCAGCATCGATCCGAAGAGCCAGCTGCTCGCGGATCCGTCGATGGTCATAATTCGAAGACTAAGATCAAAACCGGGCAATCAGGTTGCCTGCACGCAGCCTGACGAGCACCGTTCGCACCAAGTGCTGAACCTCTCTCTCTCTCTCTCTCTCTCTCTCTCTCTCTCTCTCTCTCTCTCTCTCTCTCTCTCTCTCTCTCT